ACTATTGTATTGAATTATATTTATTGTAATTATATGGAAATAAAGCACAAAAGACAAACAAACTTTTACATTATTTTTTGGTCATTTTGGATCAACATCATTTATCTTAAGGGGGCGTCTAATGACACGTGATCGTTTTTTTTAGGAATTTTTAAACCGCCCCTTATCTTTGGTGATACCTTGTAATATTTAAAATTACCCGCCTCTCCCACCAAACATCACATGTATTTTTAGTTAGATAAAATTCTTTGAAAAATTCTAAGAATTACGAAAAAATCGTATTTTTATACATTTTTTTTAATTTAGGTAAAAAATAAATACTCGTAATATCTTACTAGTCCTCGCCCTCCCCCACGCGATTTTTGTGATTTTTTATCAAATCCTTGAGGGGGATTATTAGATATCAAGCAGTAGTGATATTAGATTTATACTTGGAAGTAAGTTTTCCATTAGGATGTTATGTGGACAAAGTTCTTCTTGCTACATATCATAATTAGATCAATACCCTTATATAAAAAAATGCATCAGATAGAAATTTGGCAGCCGCTGGGTTGTATTCTAGTTAATACTAGGTAAGAACTGGCGGTATATAAAATATATATATATAAATCTAAAACTTAGTATTTAGACTATTTCCGGACTCGATTATACCAAAATCATGCTCATATAATTTGTGCAAAAAAAAACCTTTTAGTAATATCATTATACAAAATTTTATAAAAGAAAAGATATAACTTTTCAAGAAAAGTGCTGCAACTGTTTTATACAATATCAGCGGCTTAGTTAGTAATAAAATTCATCACACAGAGATGAGATAACTGTTTGTTTTCCACCTGTAATGCTAATACATAAGGCTAATATATATAACTTTTTAATACTTTTTTCAACTTAATTTACACGTGGCAGGTTATTTACATGCAATTTTTAAATTGAAAAACCAATACAGATTTAACGTAAAAAAATTCAAACTGTGCTAACATTTCTGTTTGTGGAAAGATAGGATCTGAAAGAGTAAGTGAATACCGATTTGTTTTTTAATTTGAATACGACATTAGATAAATTTACCAATATCGGTTCTCGAAATTGTAAATAATTAGAAGTAATAATAATAAATTAATAAATGGACGCTACTGATAGTTCCTGATCGACAAGTTCTGATCGAATGTTGTCGTAGTGGGAGAATATAAACGGAGAGCGATCGAGCGTTTAGCACAGTTTGTTTGCAACACTGAAAGTGTAGCGACCTTAGCGCGAAATTCAAAGCAAATAGTCTTAATTGATGAATCATTTTATTTTAAAGTTTAAATCATATTGTATGTGTCAATGAATAGGGAAACTTTGGGATTTCTTAGGACCAATTACAACCCCTGGTGAGTACATAAAAACTATACTTTTGTATATTTTGATACTGCTTTCTAATAAAAACTCAATCCAGTTAGCCAATCATCGCAAATGTTGTTTGTCGTTTCACAAATATTACTTTTATGAAATATATGTATATGCATATAAAACCTGTGTTTCGAATGTATTTGTAAAATTCTTTACACATAGACGCTTTTACTGTAGTATATGTTCAAAACTGGATTTGACATATAAATAGGGAATTTGTTATGCGACTACGTAAACAAATATGTGAAAAAGTTTTATGTTAAATGATAATGTTTTTGTTATTAGGCCTTGAATTACAATTTTTGTTCAATTATAAAAATCTAATTAGTTTGTCTAATTCGTGGTTTCATTGCATAAACGTGTAATTATAAATAATGATACGACATATGTTTGATTGTTCAATGCTGAATAGACCTATTATATATTTTTTATATATTTTAATATTTAAATCAATTTTTATTTTTAATTATATTTCTTTGTATTTGCCCCTTTTTGGAACGATATTAAATAAGTAATATTCAAAGTAACTAAAATGTTCAACAAAACTCCTAAATCCTTGTTAACAATTCAAGCTTTGCAATGTAATTATAATGTATTATTCTAACAAATATGGAATTTTGTGCTGTTGCTATTAATTGCAACATGAGTTAGAGCTCAAATTCTTATTATATTAAATTTTTATTACAGTTTGTCTAAAAGTCAATGCACCCGCCGAAAACACTGTAAAGGAAACACAGGCAACCACCTCGAAATCTACGTCCTCACACACATCCAGCACGTTCCATAGCTTGATAAATTCTGAAAAACGGTCTGAAATTTAACTAACGACGACCCGGATACCTGAATTGATTTAGACAGCACTGGTACATAATAAATCGTGATAAAATTAATTCAAAGCACCCAAAAACCACCGAACTTTGCACGAAATTACGTTTTGTTCTCAAAAAAGAAAAAGGAAATAAATCAAGATGGTCCAAGGCGAGAAATACCTGGCAACCAAGTCCTTGTCTATTGACAACTCTCACAAGAAGAGCGGATTCGACGCTGTGCAAAAACGCGAGGAGGAGAAAAGGCAGCAGGCCAGGAAGGAGCAGGAGCAGAAAGCTAAATATGGAGCCTGGGGTCCTGTTTTCAAAGACAGGGAAACTTTTGCCAGCATGCACTTCTGTTGAAAACATAAAATTTTATATGGAATAATAAATTTGTTTTATAAAATACTAGCATACTAACAAAAGGTAAATTGTGGATTTCAATATATTATTTCTAATCAATATCAGCAAATAATGGATTTATCTAATATTTCTTTGATTCAATTGTGCGAAGTTGTAATCTCAAATATAAAGTTATATGTATAATAAAACATATTATTAGAAACTGGAAATATTTTTATAAAAATCTATTAAAAAACTCTTATATTTCATTATTGAGTTATTTGTTTTGCTATTTATAATGACTTAAGAAATTTATTTAAATAAAGCATAATATTTAAATTCTTTATGTTGATAGAAATTTTTTGCAACATAAATCTCATAGTCTGTGAGATAGTCGCAAATAATTAACTGCACTGCAAACGTAATGTATTATTCATATTATACAGAAAATATAATATATTCAGAATACTTTATAATAATTAGTCGAATCATAAAATATAAACTGGTTATCCTCAAACAAATGTACAAAGTCGAATACTACTGGTTAGGAAACGTGGTTTTGTTAGCATCACATATTTCTTTATCTGATTTCATATTACCTATACTTTATAAAAATGATATTATTGTTATATAATTTTAAAAAATATAAACCATGCCCAAAAATAATGCCAATCTTATTTTTGCAGGACTAACATGATTCTACCTTGGACCTAAATACAATACTCATATAAATTGGAACAAAACAGAGATGGCAACGCTTTAATGTACTAATAATAACTAATATCTAATAAATTATCCTTTAATCATAAAATATGTCTTTATTCAAAGTTTTATCGAAACAATTAATGGTCTAATTTGTTATAGATCTTATGCGAATATACGTATTATAATTATCTTTACATTGGCATAAATGCGAGAGTTCATGCATAACTAAAATGTATAAATGGTTATTCAAAATTTTTGGTACTTTATTTAAAGTTGCAAAATATAATCGATCTGAGAGAGCAGTTCGATAATATTCAACTTTTTTTTTCTAATATTGACCAAACCGGTGTCTTAAAATATGAATTTATATCTAAATATCCGTATATATTGATCTAAACTATAAAACTATAAAATCTACAGTGCAGTGTATCAACTATATAAATTATCTTTAAATATACACTTAAATACTGACATATTATGGCACAAAAGGTTTTATAATTGCTTTTTCTTTTTTTGTTTTTCTCTTGTGATATAGAAATTCAGCAGATATCACAAAACCAGCTAGTAAAAATCCTGCAATAATAAAAATTGTAGAATATACAGCAGGTAATAAATTAATAAATTTTATAATACTCGTATATATTCAAGAACAGAAACATAAGCTTTTGAATTGAGAGGTAGTAATTTTCATTTCTATTATTTATGAGGTATTGTAGAATCTACACTGGAAGCGCGAACAGATATATTTAAATAAACCTATTTTTATTTTACTCCATAATTATTACTAAAGTCTTACCAAGAAAAAGTACAAAAAATGAGCCCTGCATATCGTCCATGTTAACAGTATGATTTTGGACCTCTGATGATTTACCACTATTCCAGCAACGATCCTTTTTTGGGAGGTAAGAAGCAAGCCATTTCTGTATCAGCCCCATCTGGTGCATCCTTTTCAATCTTTTAAATAAAAATATGGCAATTGTCAAGAAAATAAGATGTCGATGACCAATTTAAAGCCAAAAACTTTCAATGCAATGAGAATGAAATTTAATAAATTATTTAACTTAATGGTATTTGTACAGCATATTGTCAAATTCAATGAAAATACTTTCAGAATCCTTTGTCGGTATGCACCAATCGTGTTTAAATCTGTATAATTATTATATTAGTTAATGCAAATCAAATCAACTCACGCTTCAGGTATATAGAGGTACCAATGATATTTAGAATTTATATTAGTCAAGATAAAATTACAAGTCATGCATAACATTATTCATAATAAATTTTATGTATTTATTAAACTTACTCTTGGTTTATTACTGGAAGATATGGACTATCTTTGTTTATGAGCATACCTATCCGCTCATCTATAAATTCTTCAGACGCTAAAACAAAAATGCATCGGTTGACAATATATTTAAAAAAATGTGCAATATAAGATAAAATATTACATAAAGCAAAGTCGCAACCATCGGTTTGAAGAAATTCTTTTTTCATTATGTATTGCAAATTTATCTTCCAATCAACAAAGACATGTTTTCCTTGGCGGACCATCTCAATCATGTCCTCATTTTCGGAATCAGCAAACTGAGCATCGCGTCGTAGATCCGTATATTTTTGTTGATCTGTTGTCTAAAATTTATGGTAAATTTTTTGTATCGCACCAGATTTTATAATTAATAATATATTATAGGCAAAAATTAATTTCTTACCTTGAGGTGATATTCTAAGTATGTGCCTTTTCTAATCGTCCACGATACGGTTTCTTTGTTTTTTATCAATTGTTCGACCGACGTGATAGCAATATCAATTTTAGGAAACGTTAAAAATGCAACAAGATTACCACAATAAGTTGTAATTACTACTAATACCACCAACCACCAAGTACCAATAATAAGTCTTGCGCTGTCTGCTTCAGGAAGATGCATACCACCTAAGAACAAATAATATAAAATTTATTTTTATAATATGAATTATCAATATAATAATACGTTATGTATTGAACCTTGTTGGAGTAGAGCGCCATACATATACCACAAACAGTTTTGCATGGATTTTAATCCTCCTTGTCTAGCTACTCCATAATATTCATAAAATGGACTAAATCTATGCATTATATACAATAAGGGTCCCATTACTATAACTGAGAATCCAAGACACAGCCACGTCTGTGAATGAAAATATATTAAAAGTAAATGATAAAGGACTTTATGTATTAAAAAACTATATAATATATCTAGTAAATATTTTAAATAATATGGTAAGCTCAGAGAAGATCGAATAATAATTTGAAATACTATGCTAAGATTTTTAAGTACATACTATTATTCATTTTACAAAAATATATTAATATAAGTTTGATCTAATAAAATCATATAAATATATATATATATATATATGTATATATATATATGTATATATATATATATATATATATATATATATTACTTCTTACATCATATGTAAATGGAAGCATAAAGAGCAGCGCCCTGGATAACTCTCCTGGTCTAGACACTAAAAATGAGTAAGGTTGCACACTAATTGGCATGGTGAAATTGACACCCATTGCCTTTTTCTTTTCATCAATTGTTGTAGCTGCTGCTCCCAATAAAACCCTATTTGATTTCACGACCTTCAGTAGGCTTGGTGGGAGTTGGTAGGTTGGGAATTCTTGCGGCAGACCGAGGGCTGAAGTGGCATTAGTAACCTACATAAAAGAAAAAATAAAGTTATTATTTACGTCCATTTAAAAATTTACGATTATTTATTTAAAAATCTTGAACATTTCCATGGCCGTTTACATTTGCATGTGCTTCCTTAGGCCCAAATTGTTTATCTTTATCTTTGTCTTTAGTGTCGTTCTTTTTATCAACTGGAACAATCGTAACACTGTAACTGAAAAATTGAAAACAAATTTAGAATAACATTTATATTTTATAATTTTTTAGTTTATACCAACCTGAAATTTAAATTAATTGACAATTGATCCATTATATCAAACACGACACCTTTATATTGTGCGGGTACTCCAGATTCATTATATGCTATTATTTGCCATGGTGGGTTCTAAAAAAGTTGATGATTAATATTTTTTAAACAAATAATAAACTGAATATTTTAAACTTAAAGTTAAGATGTTTTTATTCATTACTCACGTGATATGTGACAATAGGCATTACTTTTCCCCGAAAACCATTCATTATATGAGGAAATAAGTAGTCAGTCATTGATAAGCCATCGGTAGGTCGCCAAAATCCTGCCTGTATTAATTGAATGTTTACAAATATGAAATATAAATAATTATTTGGTATAAAATGTAAGTTATTATAAAGATATAATACTAATTACGTTCATAAGAGAATCGGAGACTTCGGTATCATCTAAAATGTAAGCGCGACCCCAAGTTTCCGAAGACCGAAGCATCCATCTGGTACAGTTTCCACATTCACTCTTTTGTTTAATAAATTTCTAAAATAAAAGAATCAATACTTTCAATATATTTGCAATTATATCATGAATTAGTAGCATTCGAGGTCAGTAGACATTTCATCAAGAATGAAAGGCTCATAACTAAATGTAAATATTGAACTAAGTTGTTATTGTGATTATTGTAAAATTGTTAAATTTGCAGGTATTTTAGATTTGCGTTCGAACTATGATATAAGTGTTGTAAATAGTAAAATAAATAATAAGTAAATAATAAACCTTCATATGTTTAAGAAGAGCATCTCTTCTTTCTCGTCTGTTAGGTCTAATTGATTCCCATTCTTCGTCTGATACCTGGTTATACAACTCTCGTTCTTCAGCAATGCATTTATCCAAAGCATGAATAAATCCACGAAAATATTCACGCATATAACATTCTCTACCCATCTGTATAAACAATATGTTTTGAATATAAATGATTAAACATTTGTTATAAATACGGTATTAGTCAGTATTTATGAGACAATTGATAATATGCAATTAACTCCGTCGGTCGGCGTGATCTGGCCAGACTGTTTTCGACTTCAATTAAAAAAAATACTTCTAGTAATCCTATCGACTTGAAATTTCTTGACTTTTTCTAAAATTTCATTAGCTGTCGATCAATGAAAAAATCAGGACGAAAAAATGTACAGAAGGATAATTATAAGGATATTAACTTTTTTATACTTCGAACGGTCGGAAAGGTCTGTCTAGACCACCCATACATTTTGTATGAAATATACGCTTTTTGATATATGTAAACCAGTATTTTGCCTTTTTTCATGGTATTTTCTATTCAAACTGCGTTGTATATATTCTTTGCTATGTGTTGTAACATGAATGTTAGTATTTTCATGACGAGAGTTTCTTGAAAACCTACCAAACTTATTGGTAATCGCAAACACTGAAAATCGGATGAGTAATGCACACATTATCAACAATTTTTCTACCCGTACTGCGTTCGAAATTTTTTTTTGGCAAACCTGTAGTGAAATTATATTTTTACTTTGAGTTTTACAGCTCATTTCAAAAGCGGCGCACCTCATTTCGTTTTCATTTGAATTTCACATTCATTTCAAAGGCGCCGAAAAAGAATAAATATTGTTTTTCATTGATATAAAACAGAAAAATTAACAAAAAAAGCAACGATTTTTTGATATTTCTTGTTTTTTTTATATAATATAATATGTAATATTTTTAATATTATAAGCAAGATCAACACATTCAAAAGACGGTAAGAAAAAGAAAAAATGAAAACTATAAATATTTACTACTAATAATCTTTAATATATAAGACACCAAAAACTCTTTTATCCCATATAAATGCATGTAAAATGAATGGTGGTACAGCCAGACCTTTTCGACCGTTCGAAGGTGAAAAAATATCCGACCAACGAAGGGTTAAAGTAAAATAAAATTAATGTGAAAAAATTAAATTAAAAAAATAATAAACTTAAAATTCACGAATAAATAAAATTGTTGTGTACTGGAAAGCTTCAGCCTTCACCATTAAGAGCAATGATGAAGAAAGACAATCTAAGCAATACAACAAATGTCGCTGTGATTTGTAAAATTTAGTATATTCTAACCTGACATTCTTGCCTAGAAGGCCTGCTAAAGTTACTAACAAAAGCAATATTAAAACCCTCTCCTATACGTTTGCTGAACTTCAAAACAGGATCGCGAATGGCATCACTATCTGCAACAACGTACAACCATTGCGTCAAAGTGTTAACAATTCTCAACTCTGCAGCAATATCCATAAATGATTCCAATTGCTGGCGACCAATAATAACAAGAAAAGTCTTTCCTAAAAATTAAAAAAAAAGTCATTATCAGATTTTTATTTTTTTCTGCTGGAATATGTGGCATACCGATACGTCCCATTGGGAGATTGGCTAATAGTTCAATTATAGCCTCTCTGCGTTCTTTTTCGTGTTTTTCAGCCCTCATAGTAAATATAGAAACTGCGGTAGGAGCAGTAGTTTCATCCGGTAATTCAGATGATAAAGCTGTTACTACACGGCTTACCATATCACGATCTGAATAATAATAAAAAGCATTACAATCAATAAATCATTCTTGTTTCAATTATTATATTGCTTACTCAAAGTATCATCATGTATTATATTTGCAGACTTCCAGTCAAGACCTTTTCCACTTCGCATATCTAGAAGAATCTGTGCCATCTCAAATCCAGGCTCCAACAGGGGTACTGATAATACACCAAAATCACCTATACAAAAATCATTCATAATATTTATAAATCATTTAAATCAGAGTTTATTATACTGATATTATATAATTATTTATAACCTGGAGGTCTGGCACAATCGGCATCTGTTATCGCCATAACTAAAATTTCTTCTTCTGCTGCAGCAGCATGCAAGAGTTTAGTATTATGGCAGTTGGCCATGCTAAGTATAGCTGTGAAACCTTTTTTACAAAATAATGTAATTAATAAAAAATCTTTTATAATTAGTAAAGTAATTCAGAATTAATTACAGGTAGGAGTATATATTATGAAGATTATATAAAACAGGGCTTCTTAAAGTGGGGGTCGCGACCCCCAGGGGGGTCGCGAGACTACTGGAAAGGGGTCGCAAAGATCTGATACTTTTCAATAATTATAAACAAAATTTTAAAATTAGTATTATTAGGCCGACTATTTTCACGGCTTATGGCTTCTCAAGCTATGCTATTTGGCCAATATTTTTGATAAAATCAATGATAAGAATTTATCTATGCAGGGAGTCAGCGTTAATATGTTTATGGTAAAAAATAAATTCGAGGCCTTTGTTAAAATAATTCTTATATGGAAAAACAGAGTAGAAAGTGTATCGCTCGCTCGAAATGTTTCCATTTACTGACGAGTATATAATTAGTAACAATATGTTAAAAAAGATACTCCTATAACAAAAGTTATAGTTAATCATTTGAAGAATATGGAAGTTTACATGCATGGGTATTTTCTCAATGATATCGATACACAACAATGGATTTGCAATCCATTTTCAATTGAAATGGAAGAAATTAATTTTTCAAACCTAAAAGCACTAGAAGAATTTACCGAATTAACAAGTGATAATACCTTGCGACTCAGATTTTTTCAAGTGTCTGCGCATGAATTTTGGATTGAAATCAAATCAGAATATTCCCTACTATCAGAAATGGCAATAAACAAATTACCTATTAATTTGTGCACCATATTTATGTGAATCAGCCTCTTCTACATTAACTTACATAAAGTCAAAATACCGTTCAACTTTAATATACGTTGAAAATTTATTACGATCTGCACTAACTTAAATTGAGCCTAAATTTGATTATTTGTGTAAAAATAAACAATCACAATCATCACATTAATATTGTTTGATGTTAATAATAGGTTTTCATTAAAAAAATGTTACAAAATTTTATTTTTTCTATTGAAAATGTAGATATAGTTTCATGTTTTCTTTTAAAGAATTTGTTACAAAAGTTTATTTTTTCTATTGAATAAATATATATATACATATATATATATATATATATATATATATAGTTTTATGTCAACGTTTCCAATCATATATAACATGAATGGAAACATATTCTTCAATCCTTATTTTATTTACATTGTAAAATAGTGCGATAACGGTTAATATATATTTTATTATTTGGAGGAGGGGGTCGTTTAAAATTTCCTAAGCTTGAAGGGGGTCGCTATATAAAAAAGTTTAAGAAGCCCTGATATAAAATTTTCGCATAAACTTACAAAACGATTTATTAAAATATTAGTAAAAGACTAATACTAGTTGATGATTTACAACTGCTCTATCTTCACATGCACATTTATAAATAATCATTAGCAAGTCCCATGGACATTTTAGTGAATTTTAAAAGTATACAGAAATACAAAGCTCGAAGAAACGAGTTCATGCAATCTAAACCTGACCTTGGAACCTTGAATGCGCTATCTAGGTTTTCAGGTTACTACCCTTACATATTTAATCACCCCCAGTAGTAGTAGTATAGTAATATCATGAAACACAATAAACTTCAATCGAGAAGCTTTTACAGTTCAATTGATAAAGCAATGAAATTCTAACTGGATTTTAAAATGAAATAAATATATTGACTGTTTAAAACTGAAAATAAACCAGTATTTATAAATTTATTCTATATAATTTATCTATTTGCTCCCAAATTATAAAATAATTTGTATGAAAAAAACAATTTATATACCTCTTTTCAAGTTGATGTTACTCCAAGAAAAATATTGAATATTTAATCCGCCGTTTTTCATTTCTTCTCTCAATACTTGTTCCGCAATAGCTTTCATTGTAGATAAAATATCTTCATATGAATCTCCCAAATATTCCCGATCCAATATTATAGCTGTAAAATAAAAAATATTTTTTTTAGATTAATTTTTCAGTTTAATTAGCACATCAATTTAAGTGAATTGGCAAAAAACTAAATTATGTTTAATAGATTTGAATAAACTAAATTGGCTGATGAAAATGAAAAAAGTAAGAATAAGCTTTAAATGCATAATTTAAAGTAAATATATAACTGTATATATCTCTTTTATATATTGAAAAAAGCAAATAAATGCAATACGACTTTATGCTATGAACAAATTTATATAATAGTGTACGTATTCAACAAATAAATAAATTTAATGGTAATTTAACTTCACCATTTTTTATATGATGTTTTTGTTAAATTGTTTACAAGATATCTGATTTTCAATATTACAAACCCACCATATTAAATTAAGCATATGTATTTTTAACAAAATGCGATTAAATTCATTCTTCTGGCTGCCAAAGTGAAACATAATTAATGTAATTTAAAAAACTTTGTTATAATAACCAAGTATTATCATAAAATTAAATATATCATGAAACACCAAACCAATAATAGATACAATGTAATAAAGCTTTTTTTTGTTTAAAATAAAAAAGGTTAATATTTGGTATGATTTCAATATTTTTACATAATAAATTTTCTACTTAATTTAATATCAAATAAATCAAAAGGCTATTAATAATATATGCTATACGTATAACATTAATCAAGTGAAAGAATTATTTATAACGGATTTTCAATTATCAATAATAAATTTTGTTTTATGTCGGTTTTCATAACGCCTCAAACTTGTTTCCATGGTTGCGGTAAAAACAATTGTCTGATGTTCCCCTGACGACAGCATTGATTTAATATTTTCATTTATTTTCTAAACGCACAACTTATAAAAATATTTTATAATTTTTTCGGAAAGTATAATTTTTTAAATCAAGATGCTGAAATTTCAATTGATGACAGAACAAGACCGCAAGGAAGCGGCAAAAATAGAACGAAAGCGGCAAATTGAAGCCGAACGCAAAAAAAGAATATTCAATGCCAGAGCCCGTCTGATAGGTGTCGATTATTGCGCTTTGGAAAAGCAGATCAAGGAAAATCATGATCGAAGGACACAAGAAAGGGCCCAAGAGGAAGCTTTTTATAAACAACAATGTAGGACGCTGGAATTAGCCAATGAAATGGGTAATGAATAATTAAATTAGTCAATAGACAGATGAAGTTTTCGGAAATTATTTTTAATAGTTTTCGCAGCATGTAGAAATATTTGGTTTAGTGTTATAAATATTCGTGTATTATCTATTCTGTAACGTTAAAGGGCGTGAACTAACAACAAATAAACTGATACTGGGTTCAATCCTATATCAGGCAGGATGATATCAATTTTCTGTTATAGACCTCAAATATAAACTCAAGTGAGAATCAAAAAATACTACTAAGTAGAGTCATAATATGTCACAACTAGTATTGGACAACTACTGGGTTCTTCTTCTAAATAAGCCATACACTAAGATAGCATAACAACTGCTAAACATCCGTAATATGTACAGATACTAATTGAAAAAACTTCAAAAATATTCTTATTAGAATAGTATTTGTCTGCTTCATATGTTAATAATTCACTCCAAAGTCAATAAAACTCGCTAAACCTTATAGAAATAATTTATCGCAATACAAAAACTGAGCATTAATCAAACAAATTACTGCAGTAATGTATTGTAATAATTGGAACAATCGATTAAATGATTGACTATTAGATTTTAATATGCAATACTAACAAAAGTTAAATAAGTAATATCAAGTTTGATATTTTTAATCTTTTATAAATTTAGATTTTTATAATCTAAATAAATTCTTTTTCAATGGATTGAATTCTAAAAAGATTTCTTTTGGACGGGTTGTACTCATATATAACAATTTATTTCGTCAGTAATTTATCGATATAAAATTCCACATTTATTCCATGTAATGAAAAATTTATAAAATTTTTATCATAAATATAGCTACAATAATAATCAATTTGTGTTTAACTCATTATTACAGAAAGGAGAGAAAGAGAAACCAAAAAGCGTATAGAAATGGAAATTAATGAATTTCGAAAAGTATTTCAGCGTCCTGAGGATAGAAGAGAATTTGATTTGTATGACCCAGATGGGATGAAAAAATCGTTGCCAATTAGATTAAATGACGATGATCCAAGAATGGGTCCATCGTCTATTCAGAAATTTGAAGGTAATTATATAAATAAATAGGAGTGTATGCGTGTTTATTTATGTAAAAATGCATTATTACTGTGAAAGTCATATCAAAGCTTAAAAGTTTCATAAATAAATTTTCTTTTGTCTTCTTAGGAGAAGATTTATTCGGCGAAGCACGTGCTAAGATCCAGAAGGAGCAGCTGCACGCTTGGCTTGGACAACAAATGCAAGAACGGGAAAATGCTGAAAAGAATCGCAAAACCGCGGAAGAAGCATATCAGGCTGCAATAGTTGCTCGAGACAATCGCGCTGTCGAACTAGATATGATGGAACAAGAATGCAGGAGAAAATTAATGGAAGCAACTGCACAATACAATGCTGCCTTAGCTGCAGAGCAAGAAACTGAAAGAATCATACGTGCCAAGCAAGAAGAAGAAGATAATTTGGCAGAGATTTACAATAATGTTACCAGCCCGATGTTGTGCGAGGAAGCCAGCCAGGCCCAAAGCAGTATGGGCGAACATAGGAAAATTGGCTACATGTACAAAGGAATGACCCAACGTGAAAAGGACGAAATAAAAGCTGAACAACGCAGGCAGATTGAAGATAACCGAATTAAGCAAGTTATGGAAGCTCAATACAAGAAGGATTGGGACACTTTAGCTTTGAGAATTTCCAAGCAAGCAGTTCTCAAAGAACGTCAGCAAGAGAGAGAACAGAAGGAATACAAAAGGGCGGTTCGTGAAGAAAATGAACGATTGAATCAAGAACAAAAATCGAGGAAGGAATATATGGATAAAGTAGTTTTTACAAACGAACCAACAGCCGCGTATTTTGAACAATTCAACACATCTAGTCGTTGAAATTTGTCGCATTTATTTTTTTACCCTAAACCTGTAGTAAAATATAAATTCAAAATTAAACGCAGTGAAAATTCATTCGTGTCAAAAGTAATTAAAAAAAATCAATTACGATTTTATTAAATTGGTGTATTATATTTTATTAAGCTTAAATAATAAGAAATATTAAGGTCAATTCGCAATTATCAATCAATAAGTAGTTTCTCGTAATTTGATGAATCATATTTCTTTGAATTATGTTTTTCCAATATAATCGTAATGAAAGTTATATGGTATGAGTTTATTTGTAATACATATTTATTGTCTCATCACTAAAATATCAATCATAACATTTTGTTTGTTAAATTACATTGGTAGCAATAAAGTGTTTCAGTAAAAAGTGATATTTGTGGTTAAATTGTTCTACAATTATAATACAAAAAAATAGTTATCTATAATTATACGAATATAACAAAATATTCAAAAATTGAAAGCTTAAAATACCCTCGCAAATATACTTTAAGATAAAAATAGTAATTGGAGTATTTATTGTTTACTATCATTAACGTGGTTTCTATAATTGGGCTGTGAAACGACCTTTACTAAATGAACGAATGATTGAAATGAAATAATAAAATAACCGAAATATGAATACTAGCATATTCTAAATGCCGAGTAATTATAAAACATTGTTTGATAAACTTAATTTAATTTTAAGTTTTGCATAAAATATATAATGACTAGTGGGGTGTATAGCATCGTGCCTTAAGGCAAATTGCTGGAACTTTCCGTACCGTAACGAAATGTTCAAGGAATACTGAATGTTTTCAAATAGATTATTATAAATATTGTAACATTGTCTAATATTTATAAAAATTATCTAAACTAAATTGCAAATTTAAAATTATTTGTTTAAGTTATATTAGAACTTTAGTCAGAATAAAAATAATATCTGAATTATTTTCGCTGAAAAACTAAAAAAAATCCAAAATCAATTATTTTGTTAAGAGAAGCAGAAAGTTCTTAAAATCATTTAAATCGGACGCTTAGTTCTCTCAAAAATTGCCATTTTTTATATATTTAGCTCAGTATCTTCGAAATGGCTGGGCCTGCCTTTACCAAAAACTCATAAACACTTCTCCCAATCATTACTAATTGAATGTTTTTTAGATCATTCAAATCGGATACTCCGTTCTCTCAAAAAGTCGATTTATATTTTCTGCATTCTTTGCTCCGTATCTCCGAAACGCTGGACCTTCTTTCGCCAAAAACTAATCAGCTCTTTTCCCCTTTCAATAGGAGTCGAATGTTTTTTGAACCATTCAAAACGGTTTATCCGTGCGCCCACAAACGTGACTGAAAATTTGTATCCATACATACATACACACACACACACACATCCATTTTCTGAGGTATGCCAAAACGTTCAGAAACCTTCAAAACGTCGAGAAATGTAACAATTTTCAATTTTGATTTTCGGCCCAGTACAATAACTTACCCTACGGGAAGTTAAAAATAACATGAACTATAAGTCTAGACAACTGTACAACATGCAGCAGTTAGTATTTATGTTAAATAGGTAGCAAATATAAATTATTTTTAAATAAAATTTATAGACTCACCCATTGTGGCGTTGCTAGATATGAGCGAATCCAATCCATATACAGGGTTCCGTATCAATATCAAACACAATTGAACAAATGCAACACCATGTACCAACATGTTAGTTTAAACGACGGATGTCAAATAACACACATGTCGTCGAGCGATGTATCGCACCAGACTTTTTAACGTTATTATTTGTAACTTTATTATTAATAATCCAACACCTGCAATTATGAATTTCATAACGAAATGTGCAGGTGCGTTTCTGATTGAATTTGTGATGTGACTACCGGACAAGAATTCAAACAGTCTCGGCATAACCATGGCATTTTCTCGCTGAGGGTTGGAAAAAAGGTCAGCTTGCGGCGCTCGTGCAAATTTAATGGAGTTTTGGAATCAATCAGTGCAATATATAGGCCACAAGAATGTGGATCACTAGGCCACATCTGCCGCGATAAAACACATATCATAATAAAACTGATAATCTATTGAAAATTGTTCAATAGAGTCAGGAATGACGTAAGTCTCTCATAAAATAAAGAAGCGTTGTCGGAAATAGGGAGCCTGCGTGATGATTGGAAATTAATAAATCATATATATATATATATATATATATATATTTATATATACAGGGCCGGTCCTGGGATACTCAGCGTCCACATGCCATTTTTTTTTGAGCTATTTATATTCTATTGAACAAACCATAGAGAACAAAAAAAATTTACCCTTTCATTATTAAACATAACACTGGTACTTCATGTCAAATTATTTTAATTTAATTTTTCATTATTTAAAATATCTAAAATTGCACCGTAAACTTCTGCTGATATTGTGAGAACCTAATTGTATGTATTCATCTATACTTTACCATCGTGTATCAGATTGTTGCCTTGAAGTTTGAAAAATATTGTCCAAGATTAGTAAAAGATGCAAAGAAATTATATATTTTCTGAATAATATTGAAAAAACTATATTATAAATTCATATCCGAATATCGTTTTGGCGCCCCCTAAAGCGTGCGCCCGCATTTTTTGCATACATTACGTTCAAGGTAGGACCGGCCCTCAAACTTTTTTTTCTTCAATACTTATTTGATAAATTTGAATTCAAAGAACTAATTCATTTATTCTTTAAAGCAAAACATGATTCAATGATTAAGTATTAGTACAATTTAACGTATTTCCGAATAAATATACAAATACACGCTAACAATATTAATAAAATTTATACAATTAAGACAAACACAAATATTTTTCATATATTTCGAGTTACTGTAAAAGTTCAGAAGGTACTTCACGTGGTATTAACACTTTGCGTCCGCTACATTGCTGTTTTTCGCTATAAATAAATTAACAAATTTTACTATTGTTGGGGATGATAGGTTTGAATGTAACTATCTTGAAAAAAAATTTATCCTATGCGGTTTAAATTTAAGTTTAGGTTGTTAGGTTGCTAATATTTTTAAAGTACTTAAAGACCAAAGTTTTAAGTACAACTTAAAGCTTTGGTCAAACTGTGACCATTTTTCGGTTATGGTGGTTGAGTTTTTTTATTTTTTTGTTCATTTGAACTTTGAAACCATGATCGTAAATAACATTTCTAAGAACACATTAAAAAAGGAAGACACCACTACAACAAGTTTCCTAGAACTAAGACTATTGTTAAACTATGAATTAAAAATTCTCAAAATTGATGACTTTGGAAGGCCTTCTTCTAAAAAATGCACTAAAGTGCCTTGGCAAGGTTTATTATAAATGTTCAAAAATATTCAAAATTAAACACAATAACCAAACCAAACAATAATGATCACGGTGTGATAAAAATATTTTTAACCTAATGGCCATTAGGGATATTTTTCTCTAGTTTTTTTGATGAGAGTTACCACGATTTCTTACTACTTTCATTACTTGCAAATTAAACTTATGATTATTTTCATATAATCATAATAATAATTGTAAAATTATTACTTCCGTTATTACTTTCCAGCTTTCCTTCTTTTCGGCTCGTATTTGTCGAATAAGTCTTTATCAATAATGTATATTCCAACACCACTGTCTACCAGTTTTAATTTCGATAGTATCAATTCCATCTCTCTTATTGTATCAAACTGAAATTAAAATTATGTTTTATATTTTGTACATTTTGGAAGAAATTAATTCAAAAAATGTTCAATTTTGATACCTGCTCATATACGTATGTTGTAACTATAAAATCTGAAGTATGGGCATCTTTTAACTTATCAGATGTTTCTTGCAAATGAATAATTTTCTGAAATAAATTTTCAATACAAAAAATAATTATATACTATTGACTAAGATGGAAAGCAAAAAAAAAAGATTCCATTATATAATTACACACCGGTAACATCTCGCTCTAAATTTAATGCAAAAGAAACAGCTGATGCAGCATCTGTGAGTTTCATATTTTCAGGAGTTTTGATTGGAGTAAACTCCACAGTTGCACCTCTGGCATTCAAAAAATTCACTAAAGTCATTGCATGTTGAGTTTCATCTTCTGACATAAACATGAAATAACTATAAAAACCCGGTAAAGCAACCTATTGAAAATAATTATTAAAGAATTCATTAGCAAAACCGGAAATAAATTCAGAAATTATTGCAAGGAATATAAAAATAATGCATATTTTAATTCGAGAAAAATAAGAAATTATAATTTTTAAACACTTACATCACTGCGATCGAAAAAACTTGCAATGTTCATATATGTATAGCTTGCAAACAACTCCCATTTATCTTTATCTGGACGTTTACCGCACGAACTAAGCCTGGTGTCATGGTGCATTTTTTGCATATCATTTCCTTTGTATCGGTACATTCACCAGAAGCGGCTGTTTGAACAACGAAAATTAGTAAAAATAGCTAAAAATAATTGTTTCAATAGCCTAATTTAACTTTTACACTTTTACATTTCACAACAAATTAAATTTCACTCAAAATATTAAGCACAAGACAATAATAACATTTATAAGTATGTGCACGTTTACTTTTAGAATATTTACTTGTATTTATAAAACCTGAAACAATTTAAGGCTAAATTAAGCAGAATACAAGTGCAAAAACATGTTTTTAATTAATAATTTTTATTCTCAATATTATTTGTATTGCATTATAATGTCACGGAAAACAGGTAATTTTACCAAAAATTTGGAAAAGCATTTTGGACTTGCATCTGATGAAAATTATTTTAAATTTATTTATTCTTACAACAAAATGATCTAAAATGAATTATGTTTCCAGTGGACAAGTTTCTTCCTGATGGTCTTCCCCAAGCTGATGCCGCAGTTCGCAATGGTGTACTACAGGCATCTTCGCCCCTTTGAGGCGAACTCATAGGTTGAGCTTTATCTCTTAAGTCATCTTTATCTTTATAATTAAAAGATCTATCGGGATATCTTCCTGGCCCTGTATGAGATCTATCATTTTTATCGATCTGCGCCTCATTAATCAGTTGTATTAGTTTCACAACTCTAAGATCTTCAAGAATTATTGGTTTATCGGAAGTCATCATGAGACGAATGTATTCTATGACTGCGCCGAGACGAGCGTTCTTTTTGGCAATGTCTTGCTCGGCTATCTCTTTAGGAGTTTTGACATGGACATTATTCAGTTTTATACCAGGTTTGTCGAGATTTTCGTCCGGTTCCGTCATTGTGCCGTAAGAACGATAACGACCTAGACTACTGCCGACGTTGCGGTTTTGAACTTCTTGAAAGGCAAATAAACAAGGAGAACACTTCTTCAAAACTGTATTTGATTTTGATGTTATAACTGTGAACAAATTTTTTGAATAAGTAACTTATTTGTTCAAAATTTCACTTTTGCCAACACGTGAGGGAAACGATAATTAACAAGTCACTATAAATCAAACTAATAAAACCACCACAATTTATTATTATCATTATAATTATTACATTGTTCACCCATTGATTCCATATTTCGTCCGCATCTCAATACGTTTTTGATACCCTCGACACATGCTCTTCGTACAAATGCATCCATTTTTAATTGAGAATACATGTTAACAATTCTTTGATTTATGATTTAAAGCAACTAATAAAATTATTTTCAAAAACAACATTAAACTTTTGATTTAAAAAAATATGAACTTTGTCATTACTACTTGCTCAAACGATAAAAATATAATTTTTTTGTCACTATCATTAAATAAATGTGTTATGCGAAATGAAAAAAACAATATACAGTTTGAGAATAAGATGTCAAATTGGATTTGTCATTCTATTAATTTGGTGATCAAGTAAGTTTTGATATTTTAAGTATATCATTATTTATCCAGGATAACTATAATAATAATACGAAATAAAACATCATATTGATTGTTTACATTTCAGTTTTGGAATCACAGTGAAAAAAATGATAATTTGTTGAATCAACATATTGACAGCAGTTTATGAAAAGTAATATCTTTCTATTATAGTAATATTACCTTTTCATTATTCTCTTTCCTTTTATGTTCACATACTTTAATTTGGATAAATCATTATAGTTATCATTGATTAACAAAGAAATAAATTCTTTGTATAATAAATTAATTTTTTTTTATTAAATACTTATAAAATACATCTTTCATCCACTGTTCAATAAATTACTTAATAAAATTGGCTATAGTAAAAAATATAATAAATGAAAATTTTCAGTCCTTTTAAATAATCATTGAAGAGTTCAAGTTATTTTCAATAACATTTAAACTATCACTACTATATTCAATTTTATTTTGTGGTATTATTACTATATCCATTTCATTCTTTGCATTTGATGAATGTGCTGATAAATAATGATTTTGCAAAGTTTGTGCCTGAAAAGCAAAGAAAGTTCTCAATTTAATTTCGAAACAGTAAATAATATATAAATATTATTACATACCAATTTAAAAACCCGATTGCATATGTTGCACTTAAACTGTTTAGAAGGCTCATGCACAATCTGATGCTTATACAAAGATGAATATTCAGTAAATCGTTTTCCACAAGACTAAAAAAATATTTGGAATTACACATTATCAAAATATAAATTTAATACGTACTATAATTAAGCAAATGCTATAAATTTTTGACAAAGGACTATCAATAGTTTATAATTGTTCTCATAAACAGCTAGAGAAATAGTTAATGAAATAGTGTAAATAAGACTTCAAGTATGCTCCTACTAAATTTAACATTCAATCTTGCATTATAGTTACCTCAACTGCACAAGCATAAGGTTTGAGCCCAGTATGAATACGCTCATGATTCCTATAATTTGTTGTTGACGAAAATCTTTTATCACAATATTTACATGCATATGGACGCTCTCCCGTGTGGTGGGTACGCATATGAACTTTCATAATATTTGAAGTAGTAAAGCTTCTATCACACCCATCTATTAAACAAGTAAATGGTCTTTCACCTATAATATAAATATGAAATTTTGATCAATGCTTTAAAGCAATTATATTAGGAAGTGCTGAATAGTTAATTTTTACACGCAAGCTCTACATAAGCAAAAACCATTACAAAAAAATCATCATTCATTATCAAAATTAATCATTCATGCCATAACATACATTGTATATATATTGAGAAATCATGATTTATGATGATTATTTAATTAATGTGATTTAAGCATTTAATTTAAATTAGTACAAGCAAGCATAAATTACTTAATTATTGTATTTATTTATTTTTATAAATCTTAATTAATGATACCTACCTGTATGAGTTCTAACATGCTTCTGCAAATCTCCAGATGTTTTGAACCCTTTTTTACAATTTTCAAAAAAGCATTCAAAAGGTCTGGCTCCTGTATGTGTTCTGCAATGAGTTTTCAGAGAATAACTTGTTGCAAATGATCGACTGCAGTTTTTGCAAACGTAAGGTCGTTCTCCAGTGTGAACTCTTTCATGCACCTGCAAAAAAAACAAAACCCCACCTAAATTGAATATTACTTACTTATATCATGTGTTATAAGCTAGTGTTAATAATTTTATTTAAACAACTAAATTAATTATTGTTTAAAAGAAGTTGCAATAAGATGTAATTCAATAAAATTATGGTAGAATTAGATACAAGTAAAAATAACAAACAAAAAAACAATTGTCAAGGATTAAATCTATAATATTGAATAAATGCAATTATAAAATTTCTTAAGTTCTAAATTACCCTTAGGTGATGTTTTGTGGTATATCTTCTTTCACAGCCTTTGTAAGTGCAAGCATATTTTTTTCCATGCAATTCTTCTTCAACCTCTGCTGAAACTGGAGGACTTTCACTTGAAGAACCATTAATTTCATAAACTAAATCATCACC